TGATAAGGTGACCAGCCGTATGCGGTGACCATGCGTACTCTCAAACATCCTGCCCGGCTGAACCCTCACGGTTCAGGGTGTGGTTCTGGGGCTTCGACAAGACGGCATATCTTTTGTACCGGGCGTTGGCACCTGTGTTTGATGAAAAGTCCCTCGGGTGATTTCCTTTCGCTATTGTACTCCACAGTGACCGTGCGAACTAAACCGTCGCTTCCTGGGTGCACGTCGATGATGCGACCGATGCGCCAATAGGTAGGGGGCAAATTTTCATTCTGAATAAGGACAATGTCACCTATCTGCAGATTTGGAGAAGACCTGGTCCACTTGTTGCGCGCTTGTAAAGAGGATAGATACTCGCCTTGCCAACGCTTCCAAAAATGCTCGAACATTCGCTGCAACTGTTGCCTGTAGAGTAGTCGATTTTCAGGAACCTTAGGAAGAGGGGGTTCTGGTCTAGCATTGAGTTGGCGACCGATAAGGAAATCCGCCGGTGTAATGGCGAGACAACCATCTGGATCATCACGAAGCGGGACAAGTGGACGCGAATTAAGTACTGCCTCAATCCTGACGAGCAACGTACTGAGCTGATTAAATCGTAAAATTTGTGCGGTACAGATGCTTTTTCGCGGAGCGTACAGCAGCTTCCCAAAGCCCTCCGTGATGTGGTGCGGCAGGGGTAATAAACTTCCAGCTGGTGCCACTATCTGCAAGTGTTCTTTCATCTGCCGGTTAGCGCCAACAAATTGCGTACCGTTGTCGCTGTACATAACCGAGCTTATGCCCCGCCAGCTGATGAAGCGGTCAAAGATATTAATGAAAGACTGGGTAGATAAGTCTTCGGCTAGTTCAATGTGTACGGCCTTAGTGGCCATACAGACAAAGATAGCCGCATAGCACTTTGTTGTTGTGGACGACCTCCTGCCGCCAACACGCACGTTAAAAGGGCCGCAGCAATCCAGGCCAGTATGAGTAAAGGGTGGAGATACCAACACACGAGATTTTGGTAGAGATGCCATCTGCTGTTGTTGGGTAGTCTTTTGATACCGGCGACATACAACGCAATTGTATGAATGTAGGACTTAACCAGGGTACGGCTGTGAATTATCCAATATTTGCGTCGCAGGAACTGTAGCATTTCCTGTATGCCACCATGCAAGCTTTGTATATGTGCATCATGGATGAGCAAGGTTGCCAATGCGCTGTCACGCGCGAAGATTATAGGGTGCCGTAGTTCAAATGGTAAATCAGCATTGGTAAGTCGGCCACCTACTCGTAGAATGCCTCCTTCATCCAGGAACGGATTGAGGGGCAGTATTTTACTTGAAGCGTCTAGTCTGGAACGAGACTTAAGTGCATTAATGTCGAATATAAACGCGTTACCTTGCGATTGCCGAATATGCAATTCAAGTGCCCACTCCTTCTCTTCAGCTGTGACAACCTCGTCTCTTCGAGTACCTTTAAAGCGTGGAATCAGCCGTCGGATACGTGCAGTTGTATTCAGCAGTCTTGTCAACCTACTAAATTTGTGCACCAAGGGAATCTGATGTTCCTTGGATGTCGTCATAAGAAACGATGGTATGACGTGAACGCTTGGAAGAGCCCTGATTGGTCGAGTTTCGTCCGCGCAAACTCGTTGTTGCTCGGTAGACATAGCTGGTAGTTCGTATGCGAGTGCATCAATTGAATGAATGATGGCTGGTCCTGTCCACCACAGCGTGTTGTTTTCTAGTATGGATGGGGTGATGCCGTGGCTGGCGCAGTCTGCGGGGTTGAATTCCGACCGGACATGTCTCCACGCACTGGTATCTGAATTCCGTTGAATGTACGCTACACGGTTAGACACATACTGCTTAAAGGCAGATGCAGGTTTCCTAATCCAATTGAGGACAATAGTGGAGTCGCTCCACAATGTGTAAGCGGCGCCCTCAAGATGGAATGCTCGACGAACACTGTTCATTGTAACGGTTAACAGTTGCGCTCCACACAGTTCCAAGCGGGGAATGGTCTGCTTCTTAAGAGGTGCCACCTTGGTTTTCGCGGCAACGAGTGTCACCCTTGAGTCTCCGCTTCCATCTATACATCGCATGTAAATTGCGGCTGCATATGCGCTTGTGCTCGCATCACAGAATCCATGAAGACTGACCGCCGCGCTGCATGTAATACCAAGCCATCGCGGTATACGGACTCTTTCCAAAGCCGGAAGATTGTTTCGAAACGCCAACCAAGTATCACGAAGTTCGGCTGGTAATGGTGCGTCCCAATCCAACTGAGCCTGCCAAAGCTTCTGGATGAACATCTTTGCTAACACGATAACTGGCGCAAGCATGCCAGTTGGGTCATACAGCCGGGCTGTGTCTCTCAAAACTGCACGTTTAGTAATAGGCAACTCATTTTCACATACCTACGTCTTGAAGAACAAGTTGTCGGTAACTGGGTTCCAGTGTAGCCCCAGTACTTTCGTGTCATGATCGCCCAAATTGATTGCCAAATCTGCTACGGAAGAGCCGCATATTGTCGCTTGGGCCCGTGAACAGTTAGAATTCCATTTGTCTAACACGAATCCACCTAGTTGAAGAATGGTGCTAACATCTTGTGCTCGGATGACGGCCATCTCTGTAGTATCGACGCTATCCAAATAATCGTCGACATAAAAACACTGAAGTATGCTGTTGCGCGCTGCGGCTGCCCGGCTGCCGTCGATGATGGCTTCAGCGTTATCAAGTGCGCATTGTATTAGCGCGCGAATTGCATTGTATGGGCTGCATGCTATACCATAAGTCACCGTTTTGAGCTGGTAAATACGCAGTGTTTCGTTAGGCGACTCTCTCCACAAGATTTGTTGCCATTTACGATGTCTCGGATCAACCCACACCTGACGAAACATTTTCCTTATGTCTGCAGTGATGGCTATAGCGTACCGTCGAAATCGGTGTAGTATATCTACCAAGTTGTCTTGCAACTGCTGGCCGGAAAAGTGAGTGTCATTAAGCGATACACCGTTGGTAGTTTTAGATGACGCGTTAAAGACCACCCGAAATTTTCCGGTGACGGCATGATGAGGGATATAATAACATTGCGTGAAATTTGTGGGATTTGTTTCGATCGCTTCCATGTGACCCAGTGTCACATACTCACGCATAAAATGTACGTATTTTTCACGCAAGGAAGAATCTGCGGCGAGTTTCCTTTCAAGCTGTAGAAATTGGCAGAGTGCCACCTGATGTGAGTTACCAAGAGGTGATGCAGTAGCGGCCATCAGCCGAACGTGTAACGGTTTTAACAAAAATCCCTTCACACTCATCAACGTGAGAGGTGACCTCTGCCGGGGGCTCTTCCGTCTCCCAAAACTTACGCAGCAACTGTTCAAGGCACTCTTGCTCCACAGGGTTGGATGACAAGAGTGTATGATGCATTGTAGAGCTGCAGCTGGTAGCTGTGGCTGGGCCAAACACAATCCAACCCAGTCTCGTTTGCAGGGCACAAGGCATATTGTTGGGACCTGTTCTGATTTCAGTTAACAACAAGGTTGGCAAGATATCCGCACCAATAAGAAGATCAACCGTGCCAGGTGTTCCCAACGTAGGATCTGCTAACTGAAGATCATGCACATAGGTCCATGTCGATACGTCAATTGATGTAGCGGGAGTTGTTGATGTAATAGAATCAAGTATGTAAGCGCTGAAGTTGAGCGAGAACGATTCGTCAACCAATGAACGCATGCAAACTGGAACAGTTCCCTTCGTGTGCGCTGAGAGACTTGAATCGACGCCTTCGACCCGAAGTTTACAAGCATTTCTAGGAAGATTCAACAATGTGAGCATGGGTTCGCTAATGAAACTCACCTGGGAACCCATATCGCAGAGAGCTCGACATTCCTTCATTATTCCGTTACGACCAATCAGCAGTACTTTAGCGGTCGCTAGCAGTACAGTCCGATCACCCTGCAAGAGGAATGACTGGACGTGACCCAACCGTCATTGCTGTCGGGTGTAAACCTGCGGCGCCATGACTTGAGTCTCGTTGATGCGGCGCATCGCTGGTGGCTGTGCGGCTGATGCGTTATCAGGTTCCGCTACTGGTGTAGTAGTCTCACATTTACGGCATAGAAGAGTGTTATGCTTCTGCTGACACTTCGTGCATACACCCGACGGACAATCGCGGGTGCCATGGCCGGCTCTTAGGCAATTAAAGCAAAGCGACCATCCTCTCACCTTGCTCCACCGCTCCTCTACCGAGACATTCCGAAATCGGGGGCACTTTATCAGGCGATGAGGATCAGCGCATTGAACACAGGCGACGGCGCGTTGCTGGCCTGAAGGTGCTTGTGTGGACTGCACTGTTGTAGTAGCAATGTGCGCTCTTACCGCTCTTGACGAGGGCCTTGCAATTGAGGCAGCGGAATTTGAGGTTATTGTAGCAGGCAAGTTGTTAGCGCGACGCTCAAGGAAAACCAATAAGTGTTCGAGTTTGGGTATATCGTTTGTTGTTAAGCTCATCCCCCATTCGGTACGAGTTGAGCGGCTGGTTGGGCAAGTCGAGTAAGCGTTGGACATGCGTTTCCGACAGTATGCGCGGGTTATCGAAGCGACGCCTAAGTGCTGCCCAGACCTCTTCGTATCCGCCCGTATACAAGCCGCCTATTAGAGGAACGTTATCTGATTTCACGTACTGGCGGAGCTTGCCAAGCTTGTATGTTGGATCTAGGTCTGTGCGATTATGAACCAGGGTCTCAAACATATCTTTGAAGACCAACCAGTTCGCTGGTGATCCATCGAATATGGGTATTGAGATCGGATCCAGCCTCATATCTGCAGCACGATTTAGCGAAGCCGCTACTTCTGGAACCTTTTGTTCATTTGCCATCTTGCGCCTTAGTGAAATGCAAATGTTGTTGTATATTTGCTCTGTTGCCGCAAACAGCTCATCGTGGTCGTCGATTTCTTCTCCCCGAGCTACGGCGACCAATGCCAAGTGGTTCTCCACGAACCGATTGTAATGCTGGAGCGACGTGGACAGCAGCTGGTCGACCTGGATGCGATCGGGATCGTAGTCCATTGCCTCCACCTGGGTCCAAATCCGCTGGAGCGATGTTCGCGCCGAAGTGCGCAAATTTAGCGCGGCCATAAGAAGTCAAAATACGCGTAAATCTAACCGGAACCGTAAGACCCACCTCACAGGAGGCACCAAAAATGTTTAGATATGAACACGGCTAAACACTCAAAAATGAAATCGACCTT